CCCCTTACTTCCCTTCACTTGCACACTGATGATGTTTTGTCTCCAATCTGTCATGTGCCTCCTGTTCGCTCTGAGTAACAAACTGTAACTAACGGACGGACAGAGACGTTCAGTCTGACTTTGACGAGGACAAAAAGACGACTTTAACTTCAGACTGAAACTCTGCTGAAGTGAGAGACGTCAGGACATGCTGCAAATATACTTCTTAATGTTTTATGTTTATTTTCTTATTTCAAATTAGAGTTTTTTCATTATTTAACAGGACAACAATCAACAAATACAACATTTCGGATCATCTATTAAACAACATAATATTTTGTATAATTAAGTTATAAACTTTAAACTTAAAAGCAAAAACTACTTTTCAAACATTTTGGGACTTAAACAGTTGTAAGAGCATCAGAGAGTGTCTGAGGATTATAAATGAGCTGAAGCTGTGGCCATGTTGTACCTGATGGAGTTTACTTATTCACTAGGTTTATTTTATTTTATAGTTTGAAAACAAATGTTTAGAAAATGAATTAGAATCAACTCAGACATTTTGTGAAGTTTCATTTTATTTGTGTAGTTAGTCAACTAATATTTATTTATTACTTCATCTGATAAAGTTAAACTGTTAAAGATTCAAACGTCTCCCAGTAAAATAAATATCAGTTTGCCTGTTTCAGTCTGACTTTAAAGCGTCTTTCATCTGTTTTTCTCTGAAGCTGATTGGCTGAGGTTGATGTGACAGTTTGGAGAGGAAAGCCCTCTGATAGGCTCGTCCCAGCTCCACACTGTGTCGCAGAAAAGGCCTCGTTCACGATGTCGTTTATTTCACTTCCAGACAGGTCGCATGCTGTTGGATGAGAAAGCAAAGTCATGTCACGCCCAACGACACGAAGTGATGCATGTGTCAGATGAACAAAACCAGAGCTCAATAAATTCTCATTTTCTTTAGAATAATGTTCTTTTAATTTTAATTTTTTATTTTGTGCTTTTCTAGAAGTTGAAATGACAGAAGTAATATTTTACAGCACAAATATCACTTCTTTATTTCAGTGCTGAATAAACTGCAGTGTGAAGTGTAGAGCATTTTCATAACTGACGCTCTCTGGAGACAGATTATTTTATTTTCCCTGATTTTGTTTGAGTTGCATGAATTTGCATGAGACAGATAAATATGTTCAGTCAAAGGCTGTGATCCGAGGCCACAGAGAAGGAAGTTTAAATTAAAGGGTCACGACTTAGTCCTGCACAGTTTTGGTCTCTAAGATGAAGTAAAGCACCAAAAACTTTTCCCACAGTGCATCTGGAAAACACCCAGGTGTTTACTTTACTAACCTCAGTGCTACTGAAATAAAACACGCTGCTCCGTGTCACAGCCTTTGAAATCTGAAGAAGTGTCTTAGGTTAGACAGATACTTTATTTTAGATTTTGGGTTTTTGTCAATGACAAAACTCTGGTGATGTGACGACTGTCTGCACCATGATTGGTTCTCCCTGACCCCTCCCCTCTGTGCTGATAGGACAAGACGAGCGCGCTCAGTCTGAGCAACGTGGCCGGAGTGTTTTATATTCTGATTGGCGGCTTGGGGCTCGCCATGCTCGTGGCTCTGGTCGAGTTCTGCTACAAGTCTCGGATCGAGTCGAGGAGGATGAAGGTGAGTTTGATGGAGTCCTGAGAATCTGCTTCAGGGCTTCTGCTCTCGTGCTCGCAGCTCTGTGAGGCTACGTAGCAACAATTTGAGCTAAATGCTAATATAATGTTTACCCTGCTCACCATCTTAGTTTAGCTTAGCATGCTAATATTTGCAGCTCTAAACAGAAAGCTGCAGCCGAGGCTCATGGGAAAGCCGTCACTTTGCAGGTGGCGATGATGAAAAGTCAGAATCACAGACGTTATTTCAGTTCGTCCCGAGGGGATCATGAATCTCTGAACCACGTTTCATTAGAATTCAGCCGTTTGAGGGATTTCAGTCAAATCCTTATAGTCAAATTATAATTAGAAATAATTAGAGTTTCTGTCTAAACCTGGATGAACAGAATGATTCTACATGTTCAGTGAAGAACTGTTGCTACGATTCGTGGACATCAGGACCTTTGTCTCTGCAGCAGCTCTGGATTCAAACTCTTTATCGAGTGACGGCTCCTCGCTGCCGTTTGAAAGAGCATCGGCTGAACTCTGTTTATCTGACACTCTGATCTCGAGCTCCTCTTCGTCGCCGGCGTCTGCGTGTGATGAAACTGCGGCCGCCTCATTACAGACGGAGCGGTTTATGCTGAGACTTTGATGGGCTGTTCAGAAGGAACAAACAAGTCATTAGAGCCGTCTTCTCCACAGCAGCGGCACCAGTCTGTTGCTCTGCTGGACTTCTGTTGTTCTCTTCACACACAGGGAGGACTTACAAAAACCCCTCGCCGACGGCGGCAGTGACACATCACGTGTGGCGGATTTCATCAGTCAGAGCAGATGGAGCAGGGTTACCCGGCGGTTACCTGCTGCAGAGGTGGATGTAGTCACTGCAGCAAACGGGACGAATAATCAATACAGCAACAAACCACCACACGTCCTCAGATACATGAAGTCGTATGTTTGTTCGTTACACTGAAGACGAGGTGGCGTTGAACTGAGGCTGCTGGGATAGAGAGTAGATGCAGGGTGGACGGATGCTGTGTGTCAAATCAGATTCTTCAGTCATGTAGTACACGGAGTACACTGAAGTACACTGAGTATTCACACGTGTAGTGCATTTGTTTCAACAGGATAATGTTTCAAATCAAATGGCTCCTGTGGATCCAGAAATTACAATCACCAAAATATCCAACACCTGATTTGCTTGCGTTCGCTCCAAAGTTGAAAAAACGGCAGCGTTGTCCAGACAACATGTCGTCCTTCCTCTGCTGCCATTTCCACATCTTTTAAAATTATGATTGAGATGCAGGCCAACAAGAACATGAACATCCAATAGTTTTCATTTAATGCAAAATGTTATGATAGAGCTAAGGAGAAAAAAATCCCAGAAAAATTCACGTCATTCTGCCGTCACCTCCGTTGACTTTGATTCATGTGACGTAACGAGTTCATCTCTTTGTGATTATTTCAAATTTAATCTCCAGGAAAAGAATTAAAGGAGGTTTATCAGTTTTACGGTTTGTCAAAGTGGTTTTCATTAAAAAAGTTAATAAGCAGATTTTTCCTCCTGCGATTTAGTGAAATAATAAAAATGATTTTGAATTCTGAACAAAGATCTGCAGTGTTATGGCAGGTGTCAGTAGTGGCCTGCAGGCTGCAGCACTGAGACAGATGCTGTTGTTACCCTGAGAGTAAAACGCTCTGTGACAGTCAGTGATGACATGAGAATGAAGGAAAGAAACGGAGAGAGAGAGAGAGACGTTCCCCTGGTGTTGACAGTGTTTGGAAGTCGACGCAGACGGATTGTTAGCTGTTAACTTCCTGCCGTGGAGGTGAAGGCAGGAGGGAGATGAGTGATTGACTCTGATGTTCAGATGTGGGAACGCTCAGAGGAGCTGCTCCTGTAAATGAATAAACCTGGGATCTATTTGTACCAATCTGCCTGACGACCGCTGATGCCAGGCGGCGAACAGCGAGGGAGCAGGAGAGCCTCAGAGCCCCGAAACAGGATATTAACTCTGGATCCACATCATTAGTTTCACTGAGGGATGGAACAACTTTTACTGTTATTACTGTCGGAGACGACTGTGCCTTCAAACAAAAATGTTTGTGTGTAGCTGAGAATCAGTGAGTTTGTACTTTACAGGTTTGATTGTGGTTTTTCCTGATGGTTGCTAGTTTCTCTCTCGTGGAGGATTTTCAGATCGTTACTCTGAACACAGACATGAAACACGTGTTGAGAGACATACACTTCTATATAAACATCTTTAAATCCACTTTGAAAAGAGAAAGAAACAATGAAACCTGAAACTGAAAGGACAAGCTGAGAAAACAGGGCTCTCCGAATCCATGGAAACATAATACTTCCTGTTTACGTCCCTCAAAGCATTAATTAAAAACATGTCTCCCACATAAACTTATCTAGCGCCATCATCAGGTGGAGGTGTTTGTTGTGACTCTACAACCAAGTGGCTGCAAAACGTTTGACGTTGTCTCTAAAAGTTCTTGTGACCGAGGATTTGTTTATTCTGAAAAATGTAACAACAATGAAACGTCATTTCAAATGTTAGCATGCTAACCTGCTAATCTCGGATGATAATTCTAAACATGTTAGCAGGCTAATGTTAGCGTTTAGCTCAAAGCCACACTGTTGGTCAGTTTAACTTCAGATTTACTGGATTCTGTTTCACTCAGAGTACAACTAATTATTTTAATCAAATAAAATCGGATTCTTCAAAACTTTTCTTCCTGTAAACTTCACTGTGCATCAGTTGGATTTTTCCTCTCTGTCTCACAGGAGCTCATAGACGCCGCCATGATGAGCACCAGACTCGGTGGGATGGCGGGAGGAGGAGGAGGCGTGGCGGCTGTGGGCGGTTTTGGAGGAGGGGCTTCGGGTCTCGGAGGCGAGAACGGCCGCGTGGTGGCGCACGATTTCCCAAAAGCAGGAGCTCAAGGTTTACCCTGCATGAGCAAAGCTGCCGGCATGGGACTGTCCACCGGCATGTGACCAAAACCCTGACTCCTGATTGGACGGAATGCTCCTGTCTGTCTGTCGGTGAGGAGAGAGTGAAGGAGACGAGGGGAAGGAAAGAAGAGAAGAATAGATGAGAGTTGGAGGTTAATGTGCGAAAATAAGAAGAGGAGAAGGAATGAGAAAGACAGAAAAGAAGAATGGATGAAAAGAGACAGAAAGAATGAGACTGGAAAGTGAGGAGGGGAAGTAGAGAAAGAATAAATAAGAGGCAGAGAAAAGGATGATAAGGGAAAGAGGAGAGGGACAGAAATGAAAGAAGACAATGGGTGAAAAGAAAAATGGTGATGGAAGGAAATAAGATGACGGACAGATGGACAAAGAAAAGAGAGACCAGAGGTGATGAGAGAAAAAGGTGGAGGGAGTATGAAGAAGGAATGATGAGGGATGGAGGCAGCAGAAGTAAAAGAAGGGAGAGGATGGAGGGAGGAAGACGAAAAGAACAGTGATGAGATTTGAGGAAAGATAAAATAAGAACAGAGGAAAGATGAGACAGGAAAAAAACAAAGGGGGAAAAGGAATAAGACAAGAGGAGAGAAGAAAGACAAAACGAGGAGATCAGACACAGAGAAAGAGAAGAACTTGTGGGGGAAAGAAGAATGAAGAAGAAGAAGACATGTGACGGGCCGACAGCAGGAGGAGCGTTCACGTTCACAACAGAGAAAACTGACTCAGCTCCTGCAAGACGAGCGACTGGGCTTAAAAACCAGAAGCTCCACTTTTTCTATGCTCCTCCTCTTCTTCAATAACAGAAACTGAGGAGGGAAACTTCTTAAAAACTCAACTGACCGACTTTTCTTCCTCCTTTTCTTATTCTACCCTTCACTCCTCCTCCTCGTTTCGTCACGTTCACACAAAATGCCACTTTCATATGAGAGAGTTTGAGCATGTTTTCAACCTTAAGACTTCACAGACGAACACGCGTGTGCCGATGGAGAGACCTGAGGAAAACGTGTGAAGATGTATTTGTCCCGATTTAATTTGTGCTGAAAATTCTCCTATAACTTTATTTTGTGGCGAATAAAACTGATGTGATGTTGACGTTAAAGGTCCGAGTCTGAGGTGACGTGTTCAGATGTTTGGTTTCAATCAACACTACTTCAGTGATTATTCAATCATCAAATTCACTGAAATTAACAGTCAACTGGTCCGATAATTAAAAGTGAAAATATGAATCAATAAAATCCTGGTTCTACTGGTTCCTGCTGGAATTTAAATGTAGAAAACAACGAGTGAGAAACTCAACGTTTTAGAGTAAAGACGGAATAAATTCAATTAATATGAGTTAATTTAATGATAATTCAGAGTTACGATGCTAAGATGACGGACAGGTCATGAACAAGGCTGTAAGATAAATCTCAGATGTTATTTTTACACACAGTGTTGGCTAATGCTAGTGAAAATGCTAAGCTAACATCCACCAAGACAGGGGAAACGATCTCATTAATGACCTGAAGACGATGAAGATGATGATGAAGATGTTGACGTCCTGATTTTTTTACCGTCAACTTCTTCTACAGGTATGCTAACATGCTAACAAGCGCAGATTGTGTTCTCCTTCCTTTTGTTTTCTTCGTCTATGAATCAGATCAGTGAATCTTTTCTCAACATACTTACACAGAACAAAGTTACACTGTTACTAACATCGTCACGAGCCGAGGAAATCAATTCTACAACTCATTAATAAGAAGAACAAGAAACACAACAATAACAACAACAACAACAAAAACAACAACACACATCCAGCAAAACAAACCAACAGCCTCTAAAATAAAAACTAAGTCCTTCTGATCTGACATTTACCGTTTTATTATTTCAGAGAATTTTACTGCAGCTGCTGAAAACGTCCGGACACGATGTTGCTCGTTCACAGGAACAAAAACACCATCGGGGGGGAAGCTCCGGTAAATTGGGGGTTAGGTTGCGTCCAGTGACGGATCTCTGGAAGTCTGCTCATCTCCACTGATCGTCTTTAAATCTCAGACATGTGATAATCAAACAGCTGCTGAGCTTCACGTCACGTGATTCCACATCTCTCCTCTCTTTTCTTTTCTTCTCTGAGCCGCAGACGCAGCCCCAGAAGCTTTTATACAAATATCAGGAATATGATATGTTCACATTTGTATGATAAGAATGAAACATGTGCTACACCTGTAAATAATGTTCTTTTTAATCCAGTCATGATTTATAATCTTTTGATTTTGTTGATTCCGTTCAGGTCAGTTACTCTGTTTAATAAAAATTTAACATTAGCTCGACTTTTGTAGTTTTTCTGTTTTGTAAAGAATCCTCTTCCTGAAACAGTCTCATGTCTGTTTAAATAATATTTCTGCTCACATGGGGTGAAAGTGAGCTAACGTAACTCAGACAGTTAAAACAAAGACTCGTTAGCGACGTCCCTGGAGCTAGAAAGGCCGACGTGTCCATTTGTGTTTGATCCTCGTGGACAGAAATTAAAGGTGGAGTTGGCTGCAGCTCAGAATTTTCCTCTTTGCAGACGATGTGGTTCTGTTTGCTTCTTCACGCCATGAGCTTCAGCTCGCTCTGGGGCCGTTTGCATTCGAATGTGAAGCGAGTCAGCATCGCTGAGGCTGTGGTGCTCTGCTGGACACTTTGGATCTCTCGAGTCGCCAGTTGGACCGCTGAAAGGGTTTTCTTGTCATATCCTTCATCTGACAGAGCAACTCGCCTGTCTATAGATATATATATTATGGAGTAATGAGGTGTTACGTTATATGATGCCCCCCTCAGGACACCAAACATCTCTGAAAGCTCCCAGGAGCTCTTAAAGGAGCCGCAGCTAATGGACAGAAGACGAAATAATATATATATTTATATATAAGCAGGCGAGTAGCTCTGTCGGATGAAGGACTCTGCTATCGAGGCTCACTCCAGTTTAATTATCTACAATCATCTGACAGGACCTAAGATACTTTTGAGAACAGAACACAATCTGCGGACACTTGTGAATTGACGATTCAGAGTCTAAATGTTCGTCAAGCTTTGAAAAGCTCTGAATGCTGCCCAAATGAAAATGAAATAAAAACAGTGATTGAGATGTGCAACGTCCCAAAGATCCACTTTAGAGAGGAAATTAAAGCTGAGCTGAGAAAATGAGGCATTTAGAGAAACCTCCCTCTGAGACTGAAATGAGAAAGTGAGTGAAGAAGCTCGATCTGCTGCCAGTTTACAGATCACTGAAGAAAACACACGATACTTCACCTGAGGAAGAGACGCCTGAAATCTGATGTCGGTCGTCAGAGGTTTTATTTTATTCTGATGCAGGTTGAATCATTCTAACAACAGAAATAAGTTTAACACACTCAATCAAAAACATTTGGTTTGACACTGATTTATAAAAAAGGTTGAACCTTTTCTCTAATTAAGGAAAGAATAATTCTTGTTTGTTTAGTGAATGTCGACATATTAGAATCAAGGTTTTGATTCAATGTTATTTGGGATTTTAACAAACTGAAGTGAGAGTGAACGCAGAGGACGATATTGATTTTGTGTAAAGTTTTAAAGCTGCTGACAAAGCTTTGCAGAAAACACAGGTTTTTTTAATGATCTGGTTCTTACAGAAACTTTCAATAAAACAAACGTCTTTGTCTCTGTCTCCTTTTCTTTCTCTGCATCTTTATCGATCCTCCTCTTGGTGCCGTGTCTTCATTTCCATTTCTCTCTCTCTGCAACTTTCCCTTCTTTCTCTTTCCTGCACAATGTCCTCCACTCTTAAACCTTCATCTTTCTACACCATTATTTCTCTTATTATTTCGTCTTCTGTCCATTAGCTGCAGCTCTTTTCCGAGCTCCTGGGACTTTTCATCGATGGTTGGTGTCCTGAGGGGGGCATCATATAACGTAACGGCTCATTACTCCGTGAGGGAGGACGGAGACAGACGGGGCCAAAACAAAGGCAACAATTAGCCCCAGAAAGGTCCTGATTAGGAGTTTGTGGTCCATTACCTTCCTCTGCTCGTCCTCCAGGAAACTTCCAGAACAGAGAGGAGGAGGAGGAGGAGGAAGATTAGATCTCTGGGGGCTTCCGGCAAAACACCAGACCACCCTTCACTGCAAAGAGATTTAGAGAAGTGTGAAATAAAACAAGTACGAATGAGCTTATCGAGCGTCGAGGATGTTAAGTGAGTTGAACAGAATCAGTTTAACACAAGATTAAAAGCAGAAGTTTATAGTTGCTGAGTTTTGAACCACATTTATAATTTGGATGATTTATTTTCTGATGCTCATCATCGGCCGTGGAACATGTAATTCAGCAGAATCACTGTGATAATCAGTGTTTAAGTGAAAACATGAGTATTTGTGTTTGTGTTTACTGCAGTACTGCATTTATATTTATACTCTATTTCAAGTTCAATATTCAAAACCCTCTTTTTCTGCTTAAAAGAAAAGATGCAGCTGTTCAATAAGATGATCATACATGTTTTTGACCAGCAGATGGCGCAAGAGAAAAAGTTCATCCTGGGAACCATGAATATCTGTGAAAAGAACATTCGTGGTAATCTTGCCCAGACATTTCACACCCAGACACCTTATTAAGCTTTGCCCATGTCCCTGCTGCTAACATGGAGGAGGCAGGATTCATGATAAATACTGCAGCCAGCCACCAGGGGCGATCAAGACACATTCAGGAAGCTGTGAGGTCGTCCTTCTTTATTTACAGTTAATGGTTCTGTACACGTCTGCGTGGTTTATTGTTCTACATAAATAAACTTGTGTTATGAAATGAATTATGTTCGTTATTAATAACTTGAATTAAACCTTTAAAACTCTCTGATGAGGTGAATCCATGTTTACTGAGAGACGCCCAATCGAACGCTGACTGATGACCTGTGTCACACTGACACCTGGTGGACATGTACGGAACAACGTTCTAGATGTTCTACTTTCATCAACATTATTTTGTCGGTCAACTAGAACCTGCACAAAATAACATCATATGATAACAACAATAATAATCATAATACACTTTAAAAACACGTGTGATTCACAGACACAAAACAGTCGACACATGATTCAACAAGTTAAATAAATGTTAACAAAGTTGAAAGACGTTTTTAAAAAATACGTTTTTCAATATTTATATATTTATATATACAAACACACAAACAGTCACAGGTCACTTAATTAGTCACACCTGTTCAGTTGCTTGTTAACACAAATAGCTAATCAGCCAATCACATGGCAGCAGCTCAATGCATTCAGGCATCTGGACGTGGTGAAGACGACTTGCTGAAGTTCACACCGAGCATCATCACGCATCATCACGCACGACCATCTCAGAGAAGAGTTTGAAGAAGAGAAATATCCAGTGAGCTGCAGTTGTGTGGGCGAAGATGTCTTGTTGAGGTCAGAGGTCAGAGGAGGACGGGCAGAGTGGTTGGAGATGATAGAACGGAAACGGTAACTCAAATGATCACTCGTTACAACCAAGGTCTGCAGAATCTGTGAACGCAACACGTGGAGCCTTGGAGCAGATGGGCTACAGCAGCAGAAGACTGTGCTCCAGTGACCTCCACAGTCACCGGATCTCAATCCAGTCGAGAACCTCTGGGAGGTGGAGCAGCGGGAGATTCACATCGTGGATGTGCAGCCGACAAATCTGCAGCAACTGTGTGATGCTGTCAGTTCAACACGAACCAAATCTGTGAGGGATGTTTCCAACACCTTGTTGAATCTGTGCTACGAAGAATTAAAGCAGTTCTGAAGACAAAGGGTCCAAACCAGTACTAGCAAGGTGTACCTAATAAAGTGGCCGGTGAGTGTACATGCATCACACATGTTTAAATGTTACGTCGCCTCTTTAACTTCTCTTCTCTAGACATCTCAGTGTACTGCTTGACTGCCACCAGGGGGCAGACACTTTGACTTCACTTTTGGGGGCTGTCGTGTCGTCCATCTTTGTTTACAGTCGACACCTTTGGTTTTCATTATGAAAAGAGGCTGAGACGTCGTGATTGGTAGAGCCTGTATGGGCGGGGTCTCGATATTACAGTTTTTCACAATTGTTAAAACACGTTTTTTGAATCCTCCTTTTCTCCGAATTCTAAACACAAAACTCTTTTCTCAAACTACTTTCACGAAACCTCTGATTCTTTTGAGTTTTATTTCATGAGAATGTGTTTTGAGTTTTGCAAAAGGAAAGACTGAGATCTATGGTGTTTTACTCTGTGAAGATAGTTTATGGTTTTGTCAGAATGATGCTTAATTCAGTGAATGAGTTTCGACAACTGACCAACGGATTCACACAACAGGAGTTAGTGTGAAACTGTAATCACTGCTGCACAAATATGACATCACCACAAGATGGCAGCGTTGGTATCTGAGATATTTCAGCTTCCTGGAGGAAGTGGAGACGAGTCATGTATTTATGGTGAGTTACAATCAGTCTCCCCTGATGAAGTACTTCACAGTAGTAGAATTACAGATCTGCAGAGTCTCTGTGTCTGCAGCTTCTCGTCTCAGTCAGTTTGTCTCCTGATGATTCAGCTGCAGGATAATTAGTCCTCTGAGGATGAACCGCTTCACCGACTGAGCGTCTCCCCACAGGAGCAGCAGCAGAGACGATGAGGACGCTGGTCAACAAACAGAACGTGAAGCACGACAGAGCAAGTTCTAAATGTAAAGATCAGTTTTTAAGTTGTCTTTGTTTTGACTTGTGTCCAGGACACATAAACGTCCTCATCACCAGAATCTCGCCGTCTTTCCAAGTTGACGTCTTCGTCTTCTACAGATATATTTGTATTCCTCCAGTTTCACGTCCGTCATGTTGTTGGTTTTATAAAGATGGACGACATGACAGTTCCTACAAGTGAAACCAGATCACCTGTACCGCCCCCTGGTGTCTGGCTGCAGTACAGGTCATAAACCTCCATGTTAGCAGATGGGACATGGACCAAACTAAAAAATCAAAGTAGACGTTAAATGAATGTTTGTAAAAGATGTTTCTGTCAGTTCAGCTCGTTCTGATCAGTTTGGTTTGAAACTGTGACTTTTATATATTTGGTTTTATTAGTTTTCTTTGTCTTTCAGTTATTTATGGTAACATTTAGTTTGAACTGTGAAATATAAAACCTCAATGACATTTTAGATTCTGAAGAATCATTGACATTCATTTTTTACATAAATCAGCTGAGCATTTTTTTCATTCCACCCCCAGAAATCAACGTCCATCTTTTGAATAAAGGGACGAAGCAGTCGACAGTTATTTAATTGAGTCACAGACAAAAAGTGTTTAATGTCACTGAACATCGTTAACGTCACATACACAATAAAAACAGTCAGAAACAGAGAGAAAAACTAAGAAATAGAGAAACTAATAATTTGATAAGTTTTCATCGCACCCTGAAAGTTCTTCATGTGTCCTAAACTTTGAAACTCAGGACACATGACGTCTCTTTGTGAAAATGTGTCCATCATGTTCAGCTGAATCTAATTTGTTTTGTGTGAGAGTTGTGAAGTGAAACCAGACGTCTGGACCTTTAAAAATAAAGTGCACAAAACTAACATCATCATTCAGAGTGAGGACTACAGCTCCGAGCCCACTGAACTACAAAGTCCAGGAAACCTGCGTCTCCATCGTCCCTGCGTCTCTCTCAGCTGATGATGAAGACTCTGGGTCCGTCCTCTCTCATTGGAGGAAGACTTTCAATCACCATGTTGTCCATCAGTCCGTACTTATCCTCCTTTTTACTCCGTCCTGCTTTTGTTCCACCAACTCCTCCTCCTCCTCCACCATTGGCTAAAGTCTCCTCTGCAAGTCCCGCCCTCTCCACCGGCTGAGACAGCTGATTGGTCAGCTGCTTCATCGTCACCTGCGTAAAAAGAGACGTAAAAATAATTCACACTGATATTTTAAATGTAAAACATGTAAATACAGAAACCTGCTGCGTCGTTAGCACAAATACAAAATGTTAAAATAGAAAACAAACATTCAAATTATTAATGGTCAGGACCTGTAGCTCTTTGAAGAGGTGGAGCATGGCCACGCCCACCACAATGACCACGAAGGCTCCGAGCGACGTGACCACGTCCACGGCCGTCATGCTCCTCCACTCCTGGAAGAGGATGATGGAGGTGGACAGAACGACGGAGGTGAAGAGGACGTAGTAGATGGGGTAAACCAGCAGCGTGTTGAACGTGTCGAGAGACTTGTTTAGGTAGTTCACCTGCAGGGGGCGATACAGACACAGGTCAGATACAACAGATGGAATTTTTACTTCCTGCCTCCACTGACTCTGAAGATCAACTCCGAGCAACACACACGAAACATACGAATGACATCACCTGTGTAACCATGGAGACGATGAGCGTGAGGAGCAGGATCCAGGGGAGCGGACTCGTGAGAACGGAAATATCATAAAACACTGAACAGACGAAGACACGGAGAGAATGATGAGAAACAAACTTGTGGAGGTCAAAAAAATATTGATGAACTGATGATGAGGCTCGTGGTGAAGTTTTACAACAGCCTCCATTTTTAAATTTGTTTTGTTCTGGCAGAAGTGGAATGAAAACAAGAAGCAGAAATAAGAGACACAGGTTTAAAATCCCAACTTTCAACACGTGCACGTATAATATGTGAATATAAAATGTGAACCGCTGGAAACCATGACGACGTGTTTCCGTGTGTCTCACCGGTGTCGATGGCGATGGCGAGGCCCTTCACAGACGACACAGTGAAGGCTCCGAGCAGCGAGCAGATGCTGATGAAGACGAGGATGTTGGAGCGACCGAACCGAGGAGAGAAATACAAGACGAGCACCGCACACAACAGCAACACAACTGAGACGTACACCAGGAAACCTGACACACACACACACACACACACACACACACACACACACACACACACACACGTCAGCTTCTTTAAACAGAATAAAACTGAATCTCTCTCCTGAGTAAAACAGACTCTTACTTAAACGACAGAAACCATCTACTTTAAAAATTTGTTTGGTTCATGTCACATCTTCTAACATGGAGGAGACAGGATTTATGAGCTATACTGCAGCCAGACACCAGGGGGCAACATAGATTGTTTGGCTTCACTTTTTGAACAAGTCATGTTGTAGGTGTGTAGTTAACCCCACCCCCACCCTCACCAGGCTTGAGCAGCTTGTCCGTCATGTCCTGTAGTGATGTCACTTCCTGTTCCTCTGGGGCGTGGATGACCAGCAGGATGCTTCCCATCACACAGAGCAGACAGCCGAGCTTCCCCACTACGTTCAACACCTCCCCCAAGAGGTAGGAGGACAGAACTGCACTGAAACACACACACACACACACA